AGTAACAAGTGCATCGCTAAGAGTAACAAGTGCCTTACTAGTAGTAAAATCCAAACCAAGTGTTGGATAGTGTTCGGTCTTTTCAGACCTTCAGACCTTCATTTCTGACCAACGGCCACACAGACCATCAGGTGTTCAATCATCTCTCACCTCAGTTAAGCATTTGTTGATAGTTGTGGGGGCACATAGCCAAAGGTTGCAACCAAAGCAGGGATGATATTTTTTTTGCATGGGAAGAATACACATCATTCATTCCTTTAAAGTCTATATGGGCTTGGTATACGGACAAAATAATTGACGGCAATATTTTAAGCTCCATGATGCTGTTACTGCAAAAAATGTTCCAGTAAGCATCCGCTGAGGTGCAGTGGAGGGCACCTCGGCTGCCTGTTTGGGCCGGGCCTAGGGTCGTTCAACTCGGGAGCTCAATCGGAAGTAGATGGGCACGTGGTCGCAGGGTGCATTATTGAGGCATGGCAACTTCCCTAATGGCCCTAATGTAGGTTTGACATGGTTTGACTTGATTCCACACCCATTGGTGTTTTGAGAAATTTCCACAGCTCTACAGCATCAAAACCGTTTCCATTCAACAAGTCGCTCCACCATGTTTCACTTGGACAACCGGAGTCGATGACAAGCTGCTTTTTATCCGAGTCCGTATGTTTGGGGGTGACACCCTGCATCATTCTCAAGACATTGAAATTGCCCCGCGACGATGATGCAGGGGTGATGCCTTGTTGTGACATCTACTTTCTTTGGGTGATCAGATCCATGTGAGAGTGGAAGGCCAAGAACTGACACTACTTACCTCCTACACAGCTGTAAATGCTGGCAAGGCCCCAGGACCGTTGCTTTTGAGACCCTTTGCTCATTCCGAAAGCCTGAGGATGTACTATTGGAATCAGATGACCAATGAGACTACCTGGCAAAGACCCGGGGCAGCGCCAATGATGCCAATGATGGGTTATCCTCAGCCCTTCTTTTATCCTGGTGCCCAGTGACTTCGCTGGGCCGGCTCGGCTCATGGCGCTCTTGGTAGGCTGTGTCACCCGCGTGGGTGGGCAGGATGCTGTGCGCTTCACTTGAAGCTTTATGGGGTGCCTGGACTACAACTTGCCGGCATTTAGTGTGTGAGTTAAAACGTCACCTTTCGTCGACATTGGATTGAAGCTCGCAGATCAATTAGAGCCATGGAATACTGTGAAGTTGCCGAGAAATCCTTAGAGCAACCACCATAGAAGCCCAGATGTTTGAAGTCTATTTGGGCAAATAGTGTTGACGACACCTGGTGAGAACCAGGTCAATCTGGTCAAGCAGAATTTGTCCAAATTCTAGCTAATCTGTACACTAAATTGCTTGAGATGTAGGAAGCAGGATTGTATTGGAGAAAAGGCAGCTTTGACGCACTCGTCGCTCGACCTCGACATCACCTGGGCTCGACATCGCTCGAGCCAGGCCAGCAACATGCATGCTTTTTTTCGCGTCCATCCGAGATCACTCCACGTGAATAAAGGAGACTCAGGCTTGCTTTGTTGAAGTATTGCTCCGTCTAGACAGATCCAACTTTCTTAATCAGCCGCGCTTCAACGGAGCCTGCGGCCATCTCCATCTCAGGGCGGAGACAAATAGACAAGCCCAGCAACCGCAAGGCCGAGGCTAAGTGGCTAAACGGTTTGTTAGTTGGTCCCGAAAGCGGTGTAAGCTGCGTAACGGTGGGCTTCATGTTTGGACAGCTCAGAAACACTCCCAGCCTTTTGAGGAGATTGAAGATGATAGAACCAAGAGAAGCAACAATTCCAATAACCTAGACTCTAGACTCTAGACTCTAGACATTTGGGGAGCGATATGAAGTGGATTTGCAACAACACATGCAATAACACAAATAACTACATGGTCAATGAAAGCACATCAACATCTCGCTCTTTTTTGCACGTCATCGACTGGGTCTTAGCGCTGCAGGGAGGCTCAGACTGAGATCTTCCAGTAGGTCCAGCCTCGTGCTGTAGGTCACAGATCGGGGCCCACAATTGTAGATGGATGTAAATCAAACGCTATAGAACTGAAGTTAAACTTGAACAACAATGTATATATGCACTATTATATAATATACCATTATATAATATCTATATTACAAAAATTGATATGTTCCTTTAATACAATTACAAGGGCGGACTTGCATCAGCTTGCCTCTCGAACTGTGCAAGGAAAGGGAGCTCATCATGTTTTGCCAGCCCCGTCCTGCACCCCTTTTTCAAAGGCCCCTCCTTTGTCCGCCAAGTCGGTCAGGCTCTGCGGCTATTCCGCAGTTTGTAGAATTTTGCAGGTTCGCTTAAAGATTGCAAAATCATTGAATCCGGAATTCTGGTAGAAAAACTATGATCGTTTGGATTCACATCAGACGTTGTTGGGACTCGGACATTGACCTCCCGGTCCGAATCCGAGGTCACTCCGCGAGCGGAGTCGGTCTCAGGTCGCCCGCCCTGACCGCCCCGTTGAGGCGTGGTGACCCGCCCTCGTGGCACTTGTTACTACTAGCTTCTTGTTACTACTAGTAAGGCACCTGTTACTACTAGCGTGGCACTTGTTACTACTGACCGTTTCGAAGAGCGGAAAGCTACATTTCAATCTGAAACCTGAAGTAAAGAGTGATAGAAAGCTACATCATCACGTCTCATGGACAGTGTGTCCTTTTTTGGAAGAAATTCATAATACTTGCATATATATATATAATATAATATAATATAATTAATTGCATCGAAATCTGCCACAATCGCTTTACATGGTAAGGTAGTGACAGCATCTGAATGTGTTTGAAATTCAGCTGTTTGTTGCAGCCATTCTGTTGAGACACACCGGACATTCATTCCCCAACCCGTTCTCATATAGGATATAGTAGAGGCGTTGTTGTTGACATCCGTGTATGGGATGATGCGTTTGTTTTCTTCAGACTCTCCTGGTAGCCTGGGGTGGCCCTTTGACATGTTGCAAATATGAAACTGCAGATGTTGATGCGTTCCGGACATTCGACAGGTTGGGAGCCTTGGGAGCTTTGGGAGCTTTGGGAGCTGGTGCAATCACTTCGGGTTGAACGACAAGACACCTCAGTGATCACACCTTCGGGTCGGTGGGATCTTCTATATTTGTTCATCTTCCTGAAAAAAAGCATGTGCATGTCGACCCTTAGGAGAGCCGTGCATAAACCCTCAAACACATCAAAACCCGCCAACCTAGCTTCAGCAGTTTTGCTCCAAGAACTAAAACATGCCATCTTCTCGGACGTGTTCGACCCTGGATTTGCTCAGATCTGGAGAGGTTTGGCGTGCGCACTCCTGCCGCGTGGCGGGTGCGACCAGCCAGGAAGCCGAGAGACTTCGGGCAGCAAGAGTCACTGAAGGGCATGGACTGTCATCAGATGGTCACCAATAACATTTGCTTCGAGAGATTCTATAGTTATTGTATCGGCTGAAGGAAGGTAGAGCGATATGTTTCAACAGCTGGAGCCATCTGGAGCCTTGCATGTTTGAGGGATTGTCACTCCTCAGGAGTGGATCTGCCGGCAGTTTTCTTCTATGCCGCCTGGAGCCTTGGGATGGGATATGTCCAATATGTTTTGGATGAGATCCAATCCGGGAGATACGAGATATGAGGTTCGGTTTCAACTTCTTTAGCCAATTTTTCTGCAATACTAACCACCTCTCTTCTCTATTCCACCCCCTTTAATTCGCCAGTCCCTCATCCTGTGGTCCTACTGCCAAAATTGATTTTCTCATTGATGATCTATATAATTTAATGGGCCGATTCCTGCAGAATCGCCAACATCACCAAGAATCCCAAACCCACCGCCAGAAAATCATAGAACATCTATGAACATCCTATAATTACTAAATTGCAAAAAGAACCATGAAACATAAACCCTATCCAAACATATTTGTTCAAGGCTCCCCACAAACCCCTCATTCAGAAGCCCCTAAATCAATTTGGTCCATTAGAGACACTGTGATGCTTCGTTTCATCGTGACTTGGAAGTGGTTTCACTCGTTTCAGAAAGACATACAAAGACTATGACTAGTATACTATGCGTTTTACAATATGCATTTCAGGTACACCTGCAAGCCCATCTTGCCTCACTTCGCGGCCACCGCATGGAGCTCCTGGTACCACTGACTCGATGGGCCGCCGTCGTGTGTGTCCCCCTTTCGAGACAGGATGGCTGCGGATGGTTCGATTTTTAGATTTTGTTGGCCATGGATATCCATGGAATTCCATGGATACGAGGGAGAGTAGTCTGAGTGCAGTGGCTTTCCATAGGTCTTTGTCGTGTTCTTGAGCGAAACAACTGGTTCGACAGATCATTGGAGTTGATGTGACACATTCGTTTTATTCTGTACAGTATTTTTGTGTAACAACGGCCATTTTGCACCGTATGTTCACAGCAGTAGCAGCCATGTATAAAGCCGGGAATCCACAGGCCACTCCTAAGCCACTCCTAGGTTGAGGGCTTCTCATTGGATGGACGCGATCCCCTTCCTGCAGAGGTGGTGGCAAGGTGGGGAAAGTGGAAAACTACATATACGATCATATACGGGAGTTGATCTAAAGGTGCGCGCAAGGGGTTTATTATAAAAAGCGGCCTTTTCCAAGCTGTCCAAACCGTCCGCGAGAGATCCGCCATGAGGTTCGGGAAAGTATCGTTGTGTTTGTTCGCGAAAGTGTTTTCGAATGTCTTCAAGAAACACGTTTGCCACTCACTAATGCTGAAACTGACTGGTTGGCTGGCCAAAGTGAAACATGTTCCACAAACTCGGAGCACCTTTTCGATGGCCACCTCAGCCACCCCCCTTTCTTTTGTGAAGTGGTTGCGATACAAACCTTGTTTGTGTGGCTCGAAGGGCCGAGCAGAGTTTCCCTTGTGCTCACCCTTGTGCAGATCACCCTTGTGCTGGCCCTTCTAATTTAATGTTACACTGTTACACTGTTACTAAAGGCGAAGGGAGGGCCCGTTGATTTAGCACGGTGTTCGTCCCTTCCTTCGAGTTAAGTTTCACGCTCGGGATGCTTTTTTGAGTATTTCATGCTTTATCGGAATGGCAACGCTCTGACTGCCCTCTTCCTCCAGGCGCATCAATCAAGTCTCGCAACTCGTGTGCCTGCTTGAATCCCATGGGTGACTGGCATGAATAAGTGGCCAAAAAAGGATGGGCTTCCTAGTCCATCCCAGCAATCCAGGAGCCAGTCAGATCTTGAAAGTGTTATGCTCGAATTGTAGACTTCTTCCGCCCTGTTTCCTTTTCGTGCGCCGTGGAGGTATGAAGACTGTCACAGTTTCTGAAACATGCGCAACGTGGCAACGCGGCTGTTTCGTCGCTTGTGAATCTACTGTAGCTGTTTCGTCACACGTGTGTAGCACTCGGTACACACAGACACACACGTGTGTGTGTGTGTGTGTCAACCCCTGTGCCTAAAGGTTCCACCTCACAGTGTTTTTGAAGCGCACTTTCAGCAGGGGTACCAGGCATCTCGCTGCTAACCTGGTCTAACAAAACTAGGCAGCGAGATGGGAAGCACTGACAGACGTCTCGGTGTGTACCTGCAACCAACTTTTGCAAAAGCTGTCCAATCCGATCGGTTTGATTCATGGTGGTTGCATGTTTCCTCCCTTAAACCTTTTTCCTGCAGCTGAGCTCGTCACCGCGCTGATTGCACAGATTGATTTTGAGGTCACTTGCAAACAATGTTCAACCATACTGTTTTCGCTGACTCATGCGCCTTTCCGTTCCATCACCTTCTTTCCACGTGGGAATTGCATAACTGAAAGCCAGTGTCAGAGTGTGAATCGCTCAGCCGTCCCACTTGGGTGCTGGGTGTGATCCTCCGCAAGGAGGCGCTGTTCTCATTCCGGAATTCGTGTACCATTCTTTGGATGATCTTAACCGATTCCTTTTCACTACTGGATTAACTGCTCCAATAGCCGCCGGGCGTGTACGGATAGACCCAACAGATGTGAGTGCATGATCTTATACTTTTCTGCAGCTTGCTTTGACGTTCAAGCATGTACAGAGTCATAAATTCCCAATGCATTTGACTTGAGCTCAGACTCTTTCCATTCCACCACAGTTTCACGTTTTTTGCCGAGTTCTTTGATCCCTAACTTGTTTTTCACCTTCACTTTTCCATTTTCTTGTTTTCACGGCAGCAGCTGAGGAACTAGTCAGGCTGTACGTCCTAAAGGGACACAATGCCAAAGATTGCCACCGCTTGTTGCGAAAAATCACACGTGCGCCGACGACGGCCACGTGTGTGTGTGTGTGTGTCAACCCCTGTGCCTAAGGGTTCCACCTCACAGTGTTTTTGAAGCTCACTTTCAGCAGGGGTACCAGGCATCTCGCTGCTAACCTGGTCTAACAAAGCTAGGCAGCCAGATGGGAAGCACTGACAGACGTCTCGGTGTGTACCTGCGACCAACTTTTGCAAAAGCTGTCCAATCCGATCGGTTTGATTCATGGTGGTTGCATGTTTCCTCCCTTAAACCTTTTTCCTGCAGCTGAGCTCGTCACCGCGTTGATTGCACAGATTGATTTTGAGGTCACTTGCAAACAATGTTCAACCATACTGTTTTCGCTGACTCATGCGCCTTTCCGTTCCATCACCTTCTTTCCACGTGGGAATTGCATAACTGAAAACCAGTGTCAGAGTGTGTGTGTGTGTCCGTAGTTTCGTGCTGGCACTTACTGTATGTTAAGTTTATTTAACTATTGTTAACTTGTTTTCAGGGTTTTGGTCCGAGAGGAGGTTTTTTTCCTTCTGATTGATGTAGCACCCGAGACCAAAGAGCAAAGAACCTTGAGATTTCAAAAACGACCTACTTCAATGCGTAGCTCGTGGATTCGTGGATGGTTTTTGTGCCACGGTGCAGGATCAAAGATGACATGAAACACTATCGGGTCCTGGTGTTCAAGGGCCAGGGCCGATTGAGCGGTGAACGACAGGCGGGGATCGGGTCAGGGGGGTCAAACAACGGGTGTGTAGACCCTGGCAGGGCAGAAACCCTTCTGCCCTTCTTGTCGGAATATTCGCTGAATTGATACCCTGCTGTCAGGTGCAGATTTCCAAGCAGTTGGGAACAGCAACTTGGCTGTCATTCTGCAAAGATTAATGAGACGAGACAAACACTGAGCGAAGAAGTGCAAAACTTGGCAGTCATCTCGGAGCCTCAGAGTACTTTCGAACGAACAGTTCCGTTTTGTGAAGTGTGGAGCCTTGGATTGCCCTTCAAACGGAGCTTCACGCTGGGGAAGTTATATCCAGTAATCCGATGAAACAAAGAACATGTCGTACAACTGGCGATTCTGCTCCGTACACAGTTTTGCATATAAGACTTATAAGACTTATGCCATAAGTCTTTTGAACACCTAGAGACTACAAAAAATGCCAGCTAGCCAGTTGGCTAAACAGATACCAGGTACTAGCAGAAGCCCAATGGCAAGGAGGTTGACGCGCGCGATAGATCTTCAGTTTGGTCTGTGGGACCCCGCTCAGATCGAGAGCACTTTCTACAAACATCCCAAGAGTGGCTGCCTGAGAATGGTCTGCAAAAGCAAGCTGGGAAATCACTGGAAACTATACAACCAGTGCTTGCGATTCGTGTCCTTCAATGAATGGTGAATGATTGGTTGGGTTCTTTATGTCACATTTACGCATGTTTCACAGAGAGGAGGTGATTTTGCTATCCGTGCGAGACCACAAATCTGTTGTTTGGCAAATCGCCATGTGGTTCTTCAGGAAGGACCACAAGTGCCCATACTTTGCCAACTCAAGAACAAAAGAACATTGGAATCCACCCAGTTTTGTCAAGGTTTGCGGAGCCAAAAGGCCTCTAACGGTCAGCAACTTGCTGTGCCAATGTTTGGATGCTTTGGTTGGATTCTTGTTTGGATGCCTTGAGGCCCTCACCCAGACATTTTTCGAGTGTCCAACGATGCTCCTTGACACAGAATGTGAGGATGAGTGGCTGGAGACTTGGGTGTCGAAGCGAGGATCTCCAATGCGGTGGTGGATTGTGTTGGAATCATTGGTCTTGAATTGAAAGCACATGTTGGACAATGTTTCACACAGGTTAGCGGTTTACACTATTCTTATTTCCCCAAACAGTTTACTGTTGGGGTTCTATCTTAGAAAGAAAAGAGCTGGCCACACTCACTGGCCGCGCCCCTGAACTCTGTGGCTGGGCTCTGTGGCTGAGCTCTGTGGCTGGGCTCTGTGGCTGGGCCTTGTCCTCCTCTTGGCCGTGCCCCTGAACTCTGTCAACTCTGTGGCTGGGCTCTGTGGCTGTGTGGCTGGGCCTTGTCCTCCTTTTGTCCTCCTCTTGGCCGCGCCCCTGAACTCTGTCAACTCTGTGGCTGGGCTCTGCGGCTGGTCTCTGTGGCTGTGCCTTGTCTCCTCTTGTCCTCCTCCTCTTGGCCGCGCCCCTGAACTCTGTCAACTCTGTGGCTGGGCTCTGTGGCTGGGCCTTGTCCTCCTCTTGGCCGCGCCCCTGAACTCTGTCGACTCTGTGGCTGGGCTCCGTGGCTGGGCCTTGTCCTCCTCTTGTCCTCTTGGCGCGCCGGGCTCTGTGTCCAGGCCTTGCCCTCCTGTTGTCCTTCTCTTGGTCGCGCCCCTGAACTCTGCGGGGCTGCGTGGGCTGTGGCTGGGCTCTGTGGCTCGCAGACAGAGACAGAGACAGACAGAGACAGAGACAGACAGAGACAGAGAGAGACAGAGACAGAGACAGACAGTTTCAGAGACAGACGACAGTGACAGAGACAGACGACAGTGACAGAGACAGACAGAGACAGACAGTGACAGAGACAGAGACAGAGACAGACAGAGACAGAGACAGAGACAGAGACAGAGACAGACAGAGACAGACAGACAGACAGACAGAGAGAGAGAGAGACACAGAAAGAAAGAAAGAAAGAAAGAAAAAAAAGAAAAGAAAAGACAAGAAAAGAAAAGAAAAGAAAGAAAGAACGAAAGAAAGAAAGAAAGTCAGACAGACAGACAGAGAGAGAGAGAGAGAAGGAAAGAGAGCAGAAATACGCTTCAGAAAGGCGTGCTTAGGGCGCGCTCTGCAGAGAGAAAGACAGAGAAAGAGAAACTTAAAGAAGAGAGAGAGAGAGAGAGACAGAGAGAGAGAGAGAGAAAAGGAAAGAGAGCAGGGCGAGCGCTCGTGTGCTATGGACGGCGTGCTCGCGCGCGCTCTGAAATACGCTCCAGAAAGGCGCGCTCACAGAGAGAGAGAGAGAGAGACAAAGAAAGAAAGAAAAGAAGGAAGGAAGAAAGAAAGAAAGAAAGCAAGCAAGGAAGGAAGGAAGAAAGAAAGGTAGAAAGAAAGACAGCAGGGCGAGCGCGTGCTTGTGTGCTATGGGCGGGCGCGCTCACGCTCCAGAATGGCGCGGTCAGAGCGCGCTGTGCAAAGAGCCAGACAGAGAAAGAAACACTTAGAGAGAGAGTGAGAGAGAGAGAGCAGGGCGAGCGCGCGCGTGCTCGTGTGCTATGGACGGCTTACTGGGCTCTTGTCCTCTGTGGCTGGGCCTTGTCCTCCTCTTGTCCTTGTTTTGGCCGCGCCCCTGAACTCTGTGGCTGGGCTCTGTGGCCCGGCTCTGTGTCCGGGTCTTTTCCTCCTCTTGTCCTTGGAGAGGAGTGTGGCCGAACAAATAGCGATGTCAATGCCGACAACAATTTATTGATCAAGCAGTTTGCTCTTGGGGTGAAAGTAGGGCGTACCAAGAAATCGATTTTTGACTGATATTGGTCTAAACGAATCGTTTTGAAGCTGTTTGGGGTCTATGCTTGTATAATCTTCATTTGTCACTGCGCGACCACGACCATGCTCAGGGCTGTGTTGCCACCGACCATGGAAAGCGATATGGTCACAACATGTGACCACCAAAACCGACAATCTAACCACAAGATGTCGAGCTCATGAAGCTACACACCCCACCCAAGAAAGAGAACGATAATCATGTCAACTGACCACTTAAAGGGATGACAGGATGGTTTTAGCCACTTCTCAGTGTGGCTCAGCTGCTCAACAGGAGAGGGAAGGATGCGTGGGCGTGGGGCCCGGGGTCTCAGCGAAGTCAATCATGGTCCTACCAGATTTAAGTTTCAACAATGTTTGCTACTAGGAACAAGGGCATCGCTACTAGGAGCAAGGTCGCTACTAGGAGCAAGGACGCTACTAAGGGTTCCTGGCCGTACTACTAGGAACAAGAAGCTATTGGGGAACAAAAAGCTACTAGAAGCTCTAATGTTTAGTTTCACTAAACATCTAGGAACCAAATCACTAGTGCGAGCGCTTCTTCAAGGAAGCTTCCCCCGCCGCCCTAAGGGCGGCGGGGGGGGGGGTTCCTGGAAGAAGCGTGAGTGAGCTATCCTGCGTCCTAAGTAGTAGCTACTTGTTAGCTACTAGCTACTTGTTAGCTACTAGCTACCTAGCTACCCCCCCCTCCCGGTCTTAAAAAATCTTAAACATGTAATATTGTGTTTTGCATTAGGAGAGAGGAGTGCTCTCAAGAAATACAGAAACAAACAGTCTCCCAGAGTGAGGTTCTTGAAATTCAAGGCATCACGCGTTTGTTTTTGACAGGCTTGCATCACTCTGCAGTGGCTTCCGGGTTCAATAGAGCTTAGAATTTCATAATGTTCAAGCATGCGGCATGGGCTTCTGGAAAACACAGCTCAGAAACCTAAATATGGAGACAAAGTTTCACTTGGAGGAAGTTGCAAGGAATCTGTGGCAGGTGCCACTGATGGTTCATCCACGTGAGGAGAACTGGATGGCATATTGATGGGACTTTTCAATGGAAGCCAGAAGCCCAGGAGCGATATGGCAGATATGGATTGTTGCTCATTCTATGCGATATGTCAACTGATCATCATGGCACTCTGCCTGGCAGACTTGTGAATGAAACAAGGTTGTGAACATTTGTGAACACCAGGATACCTTGAAACCTGTACTATGGTATTTTGGAAATGATGTTGCAGATTGTCCAACTTGCTGGAGGTCCTGGACGGCGAAATTTGCAAACCACTATAGAACCACCCATGTAGTTTTGCGCTGTTGTGAAAACTTTCGAAACTTCTAAGTGCTGTATAGGTCCCGCTGAGCCACGATTCTTTCCCAAATCAAGTGGAGAGAATTGCAGCGTGGCATCGCTACTAGGAGCGATCGGACGCTACTAGGGGCACCTCACCGCCGTCGATGTGATGTATGGCCCCGCCACGTGGTCAACGTTTGCGCATGGAAACCGAAAGAAACGCTCCCGTACGAGCTGTTGTTGCAAATGCGTCGGTGACGGACTTCCGCAAGTGAGAATGAACTGCGCAAAGGAATTCACAGCATGAAAGCCAATCATAGTCACTCCTACCAAAGGTACTTGTATATACCGATACCAAATTATCACCCGTCCCAATGTAAAATTATTTCACCGGACCCGTCACCTACTAAAATATTTCTTTTAAATTAATTATAGCTGTATATTATTTGGGGCAACCCCGTTGGTGGTGGGTGCCAGATTAATTAGGAGAGGTGGGTATGAGGTACCCTAAAATAATTAGCATCGTATGAGAAGCTGAAGGTCCACCACCTACCAAAATAATTTCAATCACGATGAAGTATGTATATTATGAAGGTAGTCCCTAGGAGGTCAAGGACCTAGTAAAATAATATAAATTAATTAAACATAATGATATTTGACGATCAAGAGACCCCTGAAATAATTTCTGGAGAAGGCTAAGCAA